TTTAAACAGTTTATTTTAATGGATTTTTTAAAGGGTCTGCAGTGAATGACCAAGTTTTTTTTCTTAAGTCAGAAATTTAAAATGTCTATATATGTTTTAAACTTTTTGTTTTACAAAAACCAAAGATTTTTTTAAAAATAAGGAGTTGTGGGTTTTCGTTCTGGAGAAGAATTTTTTTTCCCTTTGAGGAATTTATTGAAGAGGAATCATTTTTATTCAGCTAAGTCGTTGATTTTGTTTAATTTTAGAATGTTTGATATATATTTTTAAAATTTTTTTCCATTTTAACATTATTTTCTGTAAGTAATCAAAGGTAGTTTATTTTATATACAAGGTGTTATCGAAACATCCTTTTATTTAGGCTTAATGTTATTAAGGCCATATATAAAGTACAGACTGAGATGGCTAGTAGATTTAGAAAAGTTATTATCCAGCAGGATCTGTCAGATAGACGGGTGACTGTCAGGAAAGGTAAGAAGGTAGTTCAAGAATCACCAGTGGCTATTCCTCCATCAAATACATATTCAGTTTCTGGAACAGTTGAAGGGGATAGCCTCTCTGAGGAAAATGGAAGGGCCAATCAGTTAATGGACACTTGGATTGATTCTTATGTTAGGCACCGTTTGACAAGATTTAATAGAATTATTGTTATAGGGGACTCTCCTGTCAGAGGCATAAACAGGCGATTCTGTAGCAGTGAGCATAAATTTAGGCGAGATTGATTATTGTATACATTGGTAAGAATAAAGCAGTACGGAGTGAATTTAAGAGGTTAGGTAGAAGATTAAAAAATAAAACCTTTAAAAGTAGTAATTTCTGATTTACTCCCAATGCCAAACTCAAACAAGGGAAGGAACAAAAAGGTTAAAAGGAGATAAATCAATGGCTGAAGAGCTGGTGTATTGTTCAGGAATTCAGGTTTTTGGACAATTGGAATGTCTTTTGGGATAGAAAAGACCTGTTAAGAAAGGATGGATCCAACCTAAACTGGAAAGGGATCAATATTTTAGCAGGGAGATTTGCTCATTCTATTGAGGGAGACTTTGCACTGATAGAGAAGGCGAGTGGAGGAATTCCAAGTAGCAGTGTAAATGGAAGGATTGATAGGGTAGGTTCTGAATGTGAAGAGAGCACATCAATTAGAAACGAAAGACAAAAGAGTCAGAGTATGTAGTAATTCTGAAGAACTAAACTGCATTTATTTCAATGCAAGGGGTCTTACAGATAAGGGTGATGAACTCAGGGCATGTTTAAGAACACAGGATTGGGACGTCATAGCTATGAAAGCATAATAAGGTTGTAATAATGCCAAAGATTTCCTTTTGACAACTGTCCTACAGCAGATTTACATTTTTTGCAATGTCAACATAATTAACATATTATTGGTTTTTTAAATGAATGGCAGCTCAGAGTGGTAGTAAAGAATGGTAATTGTTGCAATTGGGACCAGTATTACTAGCACATGGATCTAGATATCTCTATGAACTTGTTCTCAGCAGTAACTCCCAGAGGCAGTTTGCAAGGCTCGTCCTGTTTCATAAATCAGACTCCCAGGTAGTAAATCTTACACTTCAAATAAAATTTCTACAGCACCTGTAACATTGAAGCTGCATCAAAAAAGCTCAATTTGTTCTTTTGTGTGAAGCATCAGTTCTTTTCCTTAACAACTTGTAAAACTTAGATCTGTCTAAAATTTAAATACCATCAGCACCCTTCTCACATGCCAAATATCAGGGCAGATCCTCTGATGAGTGATCTTTCTCTCCTTGTTGTATCCGGAAGTGCTATCACACACAACCAAACGAATTTGTTTCCCATCACCAAATCACCATGAGTTTTTTTTTGTTTTTAAACAACTAACCACCACCAGTAAAATCACCCATGTGGCCAATTAAATATTTACACGCAAAGTCTATTAGAGGCAATGCAAGGTGATCCTTTCCTCACCTTTAGCTTCCTAATTCATTCACCTGCATCGTATGAGATTGGCTCTCTGTCTCATCTTTCCTGAGCTTCAATTATATTGCCGTAAGTACACTACTACCACCTTGTCTGCAAGCAAGATTCACAGAATCATCTAAGTCAAACACATGGTTTACCAGGAGATCTACACAATATTCCCCACTCCCTGCAAATCTGGGCTTTCAAAGATAAAGCATGGCTGCAAATGCTCTTCAATCTACTCTACACTCTCTTACTCAAAAAACTTGAAAGACCACTGACTGAAACCACATTCAGAAAGCAGACTATCTGCTCTCTTAATCAAAACTAAAAGAAATGTACAGGAAGGATTGAAAATAATGATAGGAAAGTGCAGGGGGATGAAACTCTATTCAGTCAAGTTTAACTGCATTTCTATGCAATTCATTATATAAGACGTAGCACCCAGCGAAAGACTACACAGTACAACAGAGAGGAAATCATTGTGTTAAAGAGTTAACTGCTTCTCATTGCTTTCTCTCCCATTGTCTAAAACACCTGGTTTGGGTGTGTTAAAAGAAAGAAAAAACCTGAGTGCAAACTCAAAACCACAGATCAATGTGCTTACAGTTTACTTCTAGGTTTGCTGAGCAGAGGTGGGGCTGACCAAAGAAGGATGTAAGATTTTCATCATGGACTCATTGTAAAGACTTCTGACAGTGAGAAAGATTAGGTGGATTACTTTGCTGTTGAGCCTGTGAAGCTACACATTTGTATTCATTCAAGGAGGTCTTTTATATATTTGAATAGACTCAGTTTACATACCATTGAGTTCATAAGACTTACATAACATTGTACCTACTTCAACTTGAAAACCAAACTCACTAAAGAAAAGTTTTGTGGTTGATTCAGCAATTCTGCAATGATAAAACTGCTTTTCAAACAATACAAGCTCCCCACAATGTCACAACGAGTCGAACAGCTAAGTAGCTGAGCCAAACAGATCAGTTTGAAACCTTCCTTAATTCCCTCTCTCTGCTGGGTCAACGGGAGCAGTGGAGGTCTCCAGGTGGCCTTAGCTGCTTTGAGCTAGGGTAGGAAAAGTAATGGCTCGCATTGCCACAACTTCAGTGATCCTGGATTCAAGTGTGAATATGAGAATATGAAAGTTTCCCGAGACAATCAACCTGAACTTCCTACATTCACACAGGAACAGAGGCCACTTGGCATCTCATTCCTGAGCATGTATTTCAAATCCTGTTTTTAATTTTCCCCAAAATATATTGCTTCACACTTCATTTTACCTGTTTGTCCATTCGCTGGCCTGACTCCTTTAGAAGTCTTCCAGTGTTTTTAAAGATTGCCAAAACCCTCACTCATGCTTTGACAGTAAATTCCAACACACACTTACATATCCACAGTTCCCTGAAAGCTGCCACCCAGGTGGATAGAGTTGTTAAGAAGGCGTATGGTGTGTTAGCTTTCATTAATAGAGGGATTGAGTTCAAAAGCCGTGAAGTTATGCTCCAGCTATACAAAAGCCTGGTTCGGCCACATCTGGAGTATTGTGTCCAGTTCTGGTCGCCTCATTACAGGAAAGATGTGGAAGCGTTGGAAAAGGTGCAGAGGTCCAGGATGTTGCCTGGAATGGAGGGAAGGTCTTACGAGGAAAGGTTGAGAGCGCTAGGGCTTTTCTCTTTAGAACGACGAAGGACGAGAAGTGACTTGATAGAGGCGTACAAAATGATCAGAGGTATAGATAGTGTGGACAGCCAGAGACTTTTCCCCAGGGTGGAGGCAACTATTACAAGGGGACATAGTTTTAAAGTGAGTGGAGGTAGATATAGGGGAGACGTCAGAGGTAGGTTCCTAACTGAGAGAGTGGTAGGGGCGTGGAATGCATTGCCGGAGAGGGTAGTGCAGTCGGCCTCATTAGGGTCAGTTAAGCTGCTATTAGATCGGCATTTGAATGATAGTATAAGGTAGGGGTGGAGGTTAGATAGACCTTAGGTTTAGGGTAAAAGTTCGGCACAACATAGTGGGCCGAAGGGCCTGTACTGTGCTGTACAGTTCTATGTTCTATATGTTAGTGAGCACGAGAAGTAAATTTCAATCCGACACTCCTTACAGCCATTTAGATCCAATGTCAATCACTAGGATACAAAATTTCTCATCCTTCTCCAATTGAAGCAAGACTGTAACTCACTCTTTCCAACTTTAAACAACATTCTATCTAGGCTGGTACATTTCCTACCATACCATACACATGACTCTTTGTAGCAAGTGAAACACAGCATCAAAATTCACAGTGCTATGATCCTGTGAAACACTAAGTTCATTAATTCTAATTCCTTCCTGAGTTAAGTGCCAATAAAAATGAAAAAGTAAAAACCTAGAACATTAAAGCACACTATAAAAATGGGTAGCGTTCTCTCTCTTTCTTTTCTTTTCTCCCCCACCCCCTCCCCAATATTCAGTAAGATTGTCCTGTGTGTGCCTGAGTAGTACAGATTTGATTCCAGTTGTATGGTGAGCTAACTATTCTTATCAATGGTGCTGATAAAGAAGGTGATAAATGATATCAATGTCCCTGGAAAGACAAGGCCCAAAAAACCCCCAGCAAGGAATTCTCCTTCTCAGTGCTCTCCAGGCCTTACATACTGGAGGATTACAAGTGGAGTTTGAGTGAGAAAATATGAAACTCATCACAGATGTTCTCTCCTTCAGATAGAATACCAACGCTAAGTGCAGAGGCTCCTATGAATGATGGGCATTTGGACAACAATGGAAGACGATCTACATGTTTGCAAGTAAATACTAATGCATTTTCAGAAATTGTATCAAACTAATGTATAAGGGAACACAATCTAGCACACAAAAGCAGCACTGAATAGTGATAACAATACATCATGATAGATTGAACTAGAATTAATCTGCCATGCCATTTTATTGCCCAATAAAAACATGACAAGTGGCTTTTATGAAAGTTACATGTTTTCCTAGTTCAAACACACACAAATGCAAGTTTGCAAAATCAATGCTTCTGATTAAAGGAATATGTTAAGAATTGATTTTCTTACCAATCGCCCACATCACGGTGTCAAAGGACTCTCGTTCTTCCACATTCAACTCAAGATTTTTCCAAATAACCTGCAGTTTTCCACTATCCAGTTTTTCAATTTTGATTGGAATGCATTTCCAAAAGATCCTGGTACCATAAGATGCCATGTGGTCTGTCACCAAGTGAGCCATTTGCTACATTAAAGGAAACAAGAAATAAGTTAAACTGTAACCGCATATTATCAGGCAATGTCATAATCTGTGACCACATTTAAAAGGGCCCATTTCTGAAACAGCAACTGGGATCTTTAGATGAGGTATGTCAGGAAGAAAGTTGAATTTTCCAGTTTAACCTTTATTGGGCTGGATTTTCTGAGGAGTGGCAATCAATAAATCATTCACAGATTACCCCTCTGCTCCTCCGTTTTTACATAATGAAACAGCTCCGCATTTATGACAGGAGATTCTAATCAGGGCACCTTCAGAAATGCAGAGCTGTACTTTCATTCTGACAGGCTCGTTGTGGTGCAGAAAAGTCAAGAATGCATGCTGAAACAAAGAAAGTTTCGATGCAACAAAAAGTTTAGATGGAATATTTTAAATCACTTTATCTTAGCAAAACAGTGTTGTAAATATAACATGGAATAATACTCTTGCTCTCATAAAAGGGTGTGTTTTCCAACTTACTGCTATCAAGCACATGAAAGATCTGTTTGGATATTAAAAGTATTATGGACGTATGAGAATCTCGGAGCTTAGATTACATCCTTGTCGTTAATATTACCCAAAAGTTTTGAAGATTTTATTTATTTTAATTAGCATCAACTATTCATCAACCTCCATTATGTGCATCTACTCATATACCTCAGTGTGTAGAGTAATTGTTCTGTTATTGCATTAAAGGAGGCTTCAATTTTACTAACTGCTGCATCATCTACGCTCTAAGAGCTTCTAACCCCATAGTGTCACCTCTACAAAATCCATCTATGTAAAATTGCCCAAAACATTGTTGTCCATACCCTGTCAATCTACAAAGTACCCAAAGTACCTCTGTCCTTGATTATATACACTGGCTGCCAATTTGTCAAGCCTCAGATTTTAAATTCTTATCTTGGCGTTTCAAACCCCTACAGGCCTTGCCTCATCTTATCTCTGCAACCTCCTCAAACACATCACTCCTCATCCGCCAAATCCTCCATTCCTCTTCTATATCATTCAGTCCTTTGCCCCAGCAGCTGCAATCAAGCCATCACCTAACTTGGTCTCACAACATACTCAGGTTGTCTCCCTAAACTCACCCAATTCCTTCTCCTCTACAACCATCCTTAAAACCAAAATCTTCCATCAAGTTTGTGTTAGCTTCTTCCAAACATACTTCCATTGACAGCGTTTTGTTTTGTAGTACTTTACAATGTTTCCTATATTAAGAGCATTAAATAAGTACAAGTTATCAGTTTCAGCTCCTTCTATGACAAGTCCACAGATACAATATTTATCAGTGAAAACAGACTCCATAAAAAAGTCTTTAAGAACATCATTATACCATTGCTAAATAATACAGCCTCTGTATTTCACTTCATGATTCTAGACAACTTCAAAGTAGAATCTGTTAATGAAAAATCAAACCTATTTAATAGTTAAGTATAGAAATATGCCATATCATACCTGGTCAAAGCCACGGAGAGGAATGCTTCGCACCATGATTGAAGTGTCCAAACCAACACCAGTTAAAAATCCAGCACACTCCAAGGCCACATCTAATAAAGTATCAGGTTAAGGATCCAAATATTAATGCACTATGCGTGGGGTTTAAAAAATGTTTTTATTAAACCTGGTGATTGACATTAGTTATGATTTCATCAACATGAAATTATGTTTAGCACCTTTAAAAGTATTTGTAAGGCAGGTAAAATTATTAAGACAATATATCTTTACAGGCAGCCCCTGAATTGCGAATGGATTCTTCTCCTGAGTCTATTCACAAGTGGATTTATACACAGGTCAGAATACAACACAGGACAATATAAAGCAGCCATTCTTAGGTACACGAAATGGTTATATGTCAGGTCTTTAATATCATACTCCTGTACAGGATCATAAGAACAATCATTTGTAAATCAGACATTCATAAATCGGGGACCCCCTGTATTACTAATCTATTAAGGATTTCAAAAGAAGGATACAGCTTGCACCAATAACCAACCTATATAGAGAAAGGAAAAAATATTAAAGTGAAAAATGTAATCTATTTAAGGTGTTTTTTTTGGTGCCACACTTGCTTTTTCTTTCAACTTCAGCAACATACACTGTCCTGTAAAATATACTGAAAGGTAATCTGGCTGCTAGTCTCTGCCAATCTCAGGCATATGCCAACCATTGAGAAGAGCTCAAGACTAGCAGAGGAAGATCCATTCATTGCTGTATGGTTGATAAAGTTTACCATTGGGCTGCATAGTAATCAACAAACACAGGAACAAAAGGCATCCTCCTACACAAACCTCCCAAAGCCTGTATGCACTAATCTGCAACAAGAAACTTAGCTTAGTACATCAAAGCAAAATAAAAAGATTACGTTTAATATTATTCATATGTTGAAAGATTAATCAGGCATGGTAGAACACACGCGCGTGCACAAAACACTCCGCTGGTTGGAGTCCTACAATTGTGGTTGTTGGAGGTCAAACATTTCAGCCACAAGTCACTACTGCAGGAATTTCTCATGCAACGTCCTAAGCCATCTTCACCTGCTTGAATATATCCTCTCTGCCATCATAAGGTCAGAGATGGGGGTAATCGCTGATGGCTGCACAATATTAAGTAGATACTGAAGCAGTCCGTGTCAAATGCAGCAAGACCAGGACAATATCCAGGCTTGGACTCATAAGTGCCAAAAAACATTTGTGCCACACAAGTGCCATGCAATGACCATCTCTAAAATGAGAGAATCCAACCAATCCCTCTTGACATTCAATGGCATTACCATTGTTGAATGGCTCATGATCAACAAAGACCAAACCTGGATCAGCTATATATATGGAGTGGCTAAAAGACCAAATTAGAGATCAGGAATTCTCTAGTTAAGTCACCTCATCAGGCCCCAAAGCCTGTCCACCATCTACAAGCTACAAACTAGGAGTGCAAGGAAATACTTTCCACTTGTTTGGATGAATGCAACTCTAACAGTACTCAAGCAGTTCAACACCATTCAGGACAAGGCTGCTACCTTGATTGGCACCTCAATTAACACCTTCAATATTCACTCCCTCCGTCACCAAGGCATTGTGGCAGCAGGGTAATCTACTTACTAGAAGCTATGCAAAACTCAAAGTACTTGGACTATACCTTCTAAATTCATGAGCTCTACAACTAGAGAGGACAAGAGCAGCAAATACACGGCAACACCACTGCCTACAGGTTTTCCACCAAGCTACACATCATCCTGACTTGGAACTGTTGACCATTCCCTTACTGTCACTGGGTCAAAATCATTAAACTCCCTTCCTGGGCTCAAGGCAGTGGGAAAGATACAAATCACCCTACTTAACAGTAGCCAAACTAATAGCAGTGGGCCACAGATGGCCTACCACACCAGAGCAGGTGATCAATTCAGCATGCAGTGGGAATGAAAGAAAAAAAGTCAACTGTGTTTGCTGCAACAAGTAGATTCTAAGGCACACAAGGTGATTAACTTCTTAGTCATTTGGCGGCTTTGTTTAGCCCAAATTAGTTTCCGTCTGGCCAATACTGAAGAGTGTTTGCAGGCCAGTCTTCCATTTAAAATTCAGCCAAACCTCCTGCAAAATACAATCATGGTGTGGAGGTTCCAGTGTTAGAATGGGGTGGACAAAGTCAGAAGTCACATGGTACCAGGTTATAGCCCAATAAGTTTATTTTAAATCACAAGCTTTTGAAGCACTGCTCCTTCACCTGACAAAAGAGCAGCATTGTGAAAGCTCGTGATTTCAAATAAACCTGTTGGACTATAACCTGGTATCACGTGACTTCTGAAAATGCAATCAAACCAAGTGAGATTCAGGGAGGTTAGCTATGATGCTGGTTCTGCAATCAGTTGATCTGGTCGCTTGTGGCCTGTGACTATAGTGAAATCAGGTGTGGAGATCTCTGTAAAGTATCAGTGTGGTTCCATTCTGATGGTATATGCATATTCTGAGGAACGTAGCGAGTGAAGGTTTGTCCCCCTAATCAACATTACGTACTCGAAGAATGGAAAAAACTATTGAGAATAGGTTAGGTTAAGAGATGCCCCAATTTTTGGACCCCCAAAAAATGTCATATTCCAACAAGCAAAGGTTGAACATAAGAAAATGGGTAAACTTCTCCATCAACAAAAAGCAGGTCGGGTGTTCAGTTTAGAGTCTACCCAAACAACAGCCCTTAATGATGAGGAAGGATGTGTGTGCATTGGCTATGAACCAATTCACATGAATCAGGCTTAAACCGATGATCTTATGAATTCAAAAGCAGCAGGACTCAGTTCCAAGTCTGTAGTTCTGTGAAATTAGCACTTTTTTTGCAGAGGAAAAAATATAAACACTTTTTTTTTTAAAAAGATCATAATACAAATGGTAAAAGACCTCTGAAAATACTGTAAATTCTGAAAAGGCCAAAAAAAACCTTTTGCTCTGTGTGTGGCCCATGCAAAATTAAGCTTCAAGACACTTGAAGGATGAAGTGATGGTGGAATGGACAATTCTAATGACAAGACTAATCCCTTCAGGAATTAACAATACAATGCAACTAAAAATGCAATACATATTGCTGAAGACTACCAGTATTTAATCTTACTGCCCCAAGGGACTACATCATTGGTGTTAAATCCACAATGAGCTGTACACAATAGGAATGTGCCCTGGGCTGCTATCCAGAATATTATAGGTCACTTGTGCATAAGCAGCTGAAGCTTCCAATACCCTTTTAATGGACATCAATGTATCTATTATCCAGCTGGTTTATCTAAAAGGTGATCTGTTGGATGCAGATACACTGATCGTCAAGGCAGTCTATTTATTTTACTAAATACATAGCATTTAATTGCATTCATCATAATCAGTCCCTCAATCTCCAGTGCAATTTTATTAATTCAATGTGGGCAACTATTTGCCTTAGCAATAATAATGTTACTCCCATATTTTTAAACATTCATGGAATGTGGATGTTGCTAGCTGTATTGGCCATCCCTGATTGCACTGAAGAGGTGGTGTAAGTGGCTCTCTCGAAGTACTGGAGTCCTTTGGGTGTAGGGACTCCCACAGTGCTGCTAGGAAGGGAATTCCAAGACTTTGATCCTGGGACAGTGATGGAATAATCATATACTTCCAAATCAGGTCAATATGCAACTTGCATGTGATTGTCTTTCCAGCATCTGCTGGCCTTGTACTTCTAGGTGCTGAAAGTTTGTGGGTCAACAGAGCCGTGGGTGAGTTACTACATCTCATCTTGTAAATGTTAAACACTGCCACCACCATGCATCAGTAATGAAAGAAGTGAATATCGGACGGGACGTGAATCTAGGAGGAACGGGGTGCGGATCTAGATGAATGTTTGTCCGGGCAGGTGTCAAGCTTCTTAAGTACTGTTGGAGCTGCATACATCCATGTAGATTGACAGTATACTGACACACTCCTGACTGTGCCTTGTAGATGGCGGACAGGCGTTGGGGACACAGGTAGTGAGTTACTCACTGCAGTATTCCTAGCATCTGAACTGCTTCTGTAGCCACTGTATTTATATGATTGATCCAATTAAGTTTCTAGTCAATGGTAACCCCCAGCATGTTGATAGTGGGGCGTTCAGCAATGTTAATATCAAGGGAATTATAGTCAGATTCTCTTTGGTTGGAGATGGTCATTGACTGATAATTTCTGGCATGAATGGACATGCTTATAACTGTTAAGCAAAATGGAACCATCTCATATAGTTCTGCCTTCAAAACAAGGACAGTCTATCCATCTTTTCAACTCAGCTTCTAGCCACTCTTCCTATGCTCTACCCAAATGCCAATTTATAAAGCGACTTGAAATATTTTGCTTGAGTTAAAGGCACTATATAAATGCACATTTGTCCTCCAAACCTCCAGTGCAATGTGAAACACTGGTCATTGGCTTACAGGGCTACTTTATAAACTTAACCTCCCCCCAGCTCCTTGCATCGAATGCAAAAGGATTGGAGCTTTTGAAAGATTCAACAGGTGAATAACTTGTTACAAGAAGGCAAGGCAGAGACTGCAACCCTGGCCTTGGGAATGTCCCTTGAATTTAGCAAGTACCAGACACCAGATGCAGCCTCAGGCAACAGATGACAAGACACTTTACAAATTTTCAGCCATTTTGACAGGGGTGTTCTTTTCTGCAGCATTTCAGGATTAACTCTCAATTTTCAAAAAGCAAGGAAAAAGACTCTCAGTTCTGACATCTCAAAACCAGAGACGCTGCAGTCTTATAATTCCAGTAACTTACACAAAGTGTTGTCCACTTTTGCAGATCCTAAAGGATTGTCAATTTAAAGCAAAAAATTTAAAACGTGGTCAAATGAAGAGAAACTTGGGATCAGGAGCATTTAAACAATAAAAGCAGAAAAAATATCCTGAAGTATGCCAAAAATTTAGACAACTAATTAAATGATTCAATCACAATATATTCTGGGAAAACTGCAAAAGAACAGTCATATTTGATTAAGAACAAAAAAGCTACTGTAACCCCTCAAGGCTTATTCTGACTATTATTGCAGGAATGTAACAAGGTCAACAGCAAAACACCTCCCATACACTGTTAAAACCTGTATCAACAATGACCAGACAATAGTAGTATTAGGAGTACGGTCTTCTAATCAAACAGTAAAATCAATGTTCATTTGCAATCCTCAAAATGATTAATTTCACCCTGTCAACTTGGATCTACAACTGCAGAATGGAGAATAAGAATGTGTATAACAAAAAAGTCTGTATTTTTGTAGTGCCTCAGTTCCAAAATTGACATTAAAATATTAGTCTTTGTATTCACTCTGATACAGATGTAAACCACATTTCAGTGCGGAGTCTGAATGCTGGACATCCACTGCTATCTAGTGGTGGTAAATTGAAATAGCAAGTAAAAGCTAGCCGAGAGTCACTGGAGGCAGCACGTTGCAAAATAATTTGTAAGCAATGACAAAGGGAAGAGCTTGTACCACACTGCTGTTAATTAGCCAGTTGATTAGCTCAGTTAGTTGGATGGCTGGTTTGCGACACAGATTGATGCCAACAGTGTGGGTTCAATTCCTGCATGGCTGGAGTTCTTTCTCAACCACTACCCTTGGCTAAGGTGGTGACCCTCCAGTTAAACCACAAACAGTCATGACTCTCTGATGAGAAAACAGCCCTATGGTCTGGTAGAACTATGGCGAGTTTACCCCTACCTGTTGCAGCTGTACAGGACATTGGTGAGGCCACTTTTAGAATACTGCATTCAATTCTGGTCTCCTGCTTCCAGAAAGATGTTGTTAAACTTGAAAGGGTTCAGTAAAGATTTACAAGGATGTTGCCGAGCTTGGACAGCTTAAGATATAGGGGGAGACTTAACAGGCTGGGGCTAATTTCCCTAGAGTGTCGGTGGCTAAGGGTTTTTTTTTTTTAATTCCTTCATGGTATGAGGGCATTGTTGACCAGGCAGCATTTATTTCCCATTCCTAATTGCCCACAGTAAAGAGTCAACCACATTTCTGTGGGTCTGGAGTCACATGTAGGCCAGACCAGGTAAGGATGGCAGTTTCCTTCTCTAAAAGGAATTGAGAGAACCAGATGAGTTTTTCCAACAATCGGCAATCATTAGACTCAGTCATCATTAGACTCTTAATTCCAGATATTTATTGGATTCAAATTCCACCATCTGTTGCGGCAGGAATCGAACCTGGGTCCCCAGAACTTTATCTGGGTCTCTGGATTAACAGTTCAGTGGTAATACTAGGCCATTGCCCCCCCTAAGGTGACCTTACAGAGGTTTATAAAATTATAAGAGGCATAGATAGGATGAATATTCAAGGTTTTTTTACCCCCGTGAAGGGGAGTCCAAAACTAGAGAGCATAGATTTAAGGTGACAGGAGAAAGATTTAAAAGGGACCTGATGGGCAACTTTTTCGTTTGGAGGGTGGTGCGTGTATGGAACGAGCTGCCAAAGGGAGTGGTGGAGGCAGGTACAATTACAACATTTAAAAGACATCCGGATGGGTACATGAACAGGAAGGGTTTAGAGGGATATGGGCCAAATGCTAGCAAATGGGACTAGATCAGTTTAGGACATCAGGTCAATGCAGATAGGTTTAACTGCAGGGTCTGTTTCCGTACTGTATAACTCTGACTCTACAAGTTAGTGTTTTAACTAGATTAAAATTGCGTTCAGGCAAATTTTTGATTTTGCCTTTCTCCCCAAATGTTGAATGAAATCTGACAATTTCAGATTTGAGTCTCTTGCTACCCAAGATTCAGCTATAGGAGCTGATCATTCAAATTCGATATAAAAGTAGCTTAAAATTTAGCCTATATTTTCAGTTTTTGCAGAAAAGAAACAAAAAACAGTATTCCTTTAGTGCAATTTGCCTCCATGCTGTTTAAGGAGATGAACTTGGCCAGGGATTTTCAGACAGGACCAAATCAAACACCACCATAAAAATGAGTTTAATCTACCCAAAGCAATATTGGTAAACAAATTAGTTAGAGAAGATTTAACTGTTGACCATATAAACATTGTTTATTAAATTTAATACTTCGGGCTTGACTTTTATCAAAAATTCAACGGGCCAGATTTGGCTAGCAGGATGTCTAATACAGCTACCGTGAGTTAGACTTTCCCATATACATATACTTCAGCTGAAAACATTTTGCCCACTTGGTCGACGAGTCTGCAAACTGGTAGCAGCAAAACAAAGCAAGCAATGCAACTGGAAGCCGAGTGGTTAGGGAAAGCAACAGGGCATCTCCACAACCAATGAGATTTCAGGATTATCCCAAAATAGGCAGAGAAGGAAGATGAATTAAAGAATTCAATGTCCAATCAGGTGCCAGAGTGACTGCATTAATATAGAACAAAGATAAAAAGGAAAAGTCTAAATATCTAAAAGTCTAAATATTTTAAGATTTCTCTGAAAATTTCAAAACTTGAAGAGATTAAATTTCACAGTCATAATAAATTTTTAGTACCTGAGATTGGCAGTCAAGAAGTTATCACAACATTAAGATTATAGTTGTAATTATTAACCCTGAGGAATAGGACAGCAATATGAAGATATCATTGTTTAACCATGTGTCTGCTGCTTGCCAGGATGTTCTTCTGTTTGTGAAACAATGAGAACCATTAGCCTCACTGTTATTTCCAAAGTTTGGCTCTTTATAATTCCTGCAGTACTTATTAACCTTGTGGGTGGCGCTATAGTCAGTGTTTTCAGCGTCAGGTGCTACACAATGGTTAAAGTTGCCACAGTCTTACCAGACCACAGGGTTGTTCTTTTATTAGAGATGGTGATTTAACCTGAGGATCACCATGCCTCCGGTGAGGGGAAAGGTAGAGAAAGAGAGTTCTTCACGGTTATCTCAGCCAGTGTGGGAACTGAACCCTTACATTTGGCATCACAAACCAGCCATCCAGTCAAATGAGCTAACTAATCACCCACAACAGTTACTATCTTACTGTAGTGATTGTACTACCCTGGGCTTGAGGTTCTCATAAATCACTTAAAATTCTTTTAGATTTTTCCAACATTTTCCCAAGTAACTGAAACTTCTAATATTCAAAGCGATCAATTAAAAATTGAAAAATCACAATAACAAAATTCTAATTAACCATTAAAAACTGTTCCATATTCCCATTGCTTGACAACTTTCTATAGAACTATTATTAAAAATTTATAAATAAATTTAGAAACTTCATGTCATTCAATGCATTTAAATGAGAAGTCAGACACCAGGAAGCCAATTTTTTTGTGTTAGCTGACATGAAGTATAATTCATACAGAAACTTTTCAATTCGTGTGTTTAATCGCACGTTCACCTGTCTTGTTACTGTGAAATTTGCGCAGAAATAATGTGTGCCAATGGCCTCACTATTATTTTGACAGCAATTTTTGTACCATTGCATTTGAAAATTTATAGTGTAGCTTTAATGAAACAAAACTTCCATTTGTGATTTTTTTTCCTCAACATCCATCATTTTGACTTTGCCAACAACCAGATTCTTTGCTGACACATTTTCAGTTCGTCACATTTCATTTGAGATACAACATACAGGAGGAAAAGTGCCAGTGATTCTTTTAAGAAAGCACCAACAAGGCAAATGCTATAGTTTTTCAAATGGAATGAACCATTGGGAATATTGGATGATATTTTTACTTTGATCATTATCGTTTTAAGAGGTTGAAATATCAGGAAGCTATGCATTATTGTTCTAACATATTGACTCTTCTTTAGAATAGATTGTGAAGGACAGAGGATATTTTAACACACAAAAACACATATTGAGGCTATATCAATGATATCACTGGACTGCTATACAAAAGCTCAACAAGCATATTGTGGGAAATTTGTTGCTCTTTGAAGTAATTTTACTACCTTTACCCAACCTGAGGCAAGATGCACAAGTCTCTAAATATCCCTTCACAATGGATTGGAATTACAGCCTGACTGAAGTTTGTCAAAGTAGAGTGGACTTTTGTTTGCTTTGGGTTAAAATGACCTTTTACTGAGGTCTTGTGACATTTTCAAAAGACATTGGGAAAATAAATCTCTGACTCAGAACCCAACTCTACACTTCAGCAATTTACAAGATATTATTTTTCAAATTCAAGTTTTAATACCGTATGCAACAGTTGTCTGAATTAAATAAAAATGAAATTTATCCAACCTCACGCTAAGTTAGAAAATCCCAAGCCTGGGAGCAGTCACAAGGTCTGTAAACACAGTTGAAGAAACCTGCTGACTATGGACATTACAATTGCTGCACTGTTGTACTTACCTTGGAAATCAAAGTCAAATAGTATAATAGAATACAGTCTACAGAAAGCCCCTCACATAAACTAACCCACACTTGTCATATTATCCATGGAAACTTAAATCCTTGTGGAAATAGAGAACAGCATCCAGTAAATTGCTTCTCTGTTTCTTTGAAAAATGAAGAAGAGGGCAACATACTTAACTAACCAATAGAGTTATAATGCAGAACAACCTATAAAGCTTTGCCACTTATACTTGCAGTTCACCGGCTTCTATTAGATTGTCAACTCCAGCGATAACAAGGAAGCAAAGGACAGAGGAGAAAAAAGGCCAAATTCTCTGGGTTTAAAAAAAAATTAAAGAAGTGTAAATTACTTTTCAAAAACTGTAATTTGAACCAGTTTCTTGAAAATGCACAAGAATAGCCAGCAACCATTTGCTGCCCAATTCACCTTCTGTTGCTTCCTATCACTTTATTACAATTCCACTTAGTTCTTTTGGTAAGAAAATGATATAAAACATGGTCAGCTCAATGAGACCTCTCACCCATTGGTAATACAAATATTGGAGCAACAACATAACTTATAGGCACAAAAAGATGGAGTCAATTTATTTTAAAACTATTATATGCAAATAGCTGGAAATGTACTTAATGTAGTAATTCAGCCTTGGCCCTTTCAGAATTTGTAGTTTGAGGAATTCGGAAAGGCTCAATGGACTTTGTAATGAGCTACACATGATCCCCCGTTTTCTGGCCCCTCATAAATAAATCTTGAGTAATGTAATATTTTTATGCTTGGCAAACAACAATTTCATCAGACCTTTTGCAACAGCTCACTACAATCAGACATATTAACCAACTCAATAGCTGATTTAAAAAGTAGTCAATATAATTATTAGTTTTAAAGACATAAAGTAAGATAGCTTTCCTTTTCCTGTATTTTATAACAGGAAGCCAAGGTTCATTAAATACTGGTACTGTTCATATTGTACATCTTAACCAAGCAGCTTTGCATTTCTAGTAAACTGTCCACTGCAGATACATTAACCTCTCCTCCCCTCATTACATTTGAGAACGCAGCTAAATGGATTATTTACTCACGTTTTTCCAGGTGAGTCTTGAAGCCAGAAAATATCATCACTGGAAATGCCAAGTTCAGCCCCTGGAATCTTTAGCAAAGAAAATGAGTATTTTACCATTTTATAGCAAAAAGAAATATTGTTTTGTATTTCGGTCTGTTCCAAGAAAATAAACAGCCTGTCAGACAACAAGGTGCAGGGCTGGATGAACACAGCAGGCCAAGCAGCATCACAGGAGCAGAGAGGCTGACGTTTCGGGCCTCGGTGGGGGGAGGGGAGATTTTGAAACTTGTGAAATCCACATTGATACCATTGGGCTGCAGGGTTCCCAAGCGGAATTTGAGTTGCTGTTCCTGCGATACTAACCCTAACCCTAACCCTAACCCCCCACCGCATCCCAAAACCAGTCCAGCTCGTCCCTGCCTCCCTAACCTGTTCTTCCTCCCACCTCTCCCCTCCTCCCACCTCAAGCCGCACCTCCATCTCCTACCGACCAACCTCATCCCGCCCCCTTGACCTGTCCGTCCTCCC